TGCTGTTTTGCCTTATAAGAACCCAGTTCATTAAATGTGTTTTAATACCATTGGAGAGAAGAAATCACAGTTGAAAAAAGAGGTTTGTTGGACGGCGGTCACAAAGAGAAACTTCCACTTACTAGGCCTGGGAAGTTTCTTGGGTATCTAAGAATGGTACACCACCCCCTACTCAGGATTCCAGTGTCGGCTGAGAGCAGGAGATGAGGCATAGCTGTGTGGAGGGCAAAAGAGGAGGGGACAAAAGAAGAAAGGCAGTTTCAAATGTGAAGGTAAAGACAGGAGTTAGATTTTCTGCAGGCCAGAGCCTCCACAGGCATTGCACTTGTGGCTCAGTGCTGTCTTCACCCCAGGCTTGGTTGACTTTTAGCAGCATGAAGACCAAGACGGGAGCTCACTTTCTCTTCGGTACTTGGTTCTTGTTCTTTCAGACCTCATCTTTTTTTTTTTTTTCCCGAGACAGAGTTTCACTCATGTTACCCAGGCTGGAGTGCAATGGCGCGATCTCGGCTCACCGCAACCTCCGCCTCCTGGGTTCAGGCAATTCTCCTGCCTCAGCCTCCTGAGTAGCTGGGATTACAGGCACGTGCCACCATGCCCAGCTAATTTTTTGTACTTTTAGTAGAGACGGGGTTTCACCATGTTGACCAGGATGGTCTCGATCTCTTGACCTCGTGATCCACTCGCCTCGGCCTCCCAAAGTGCTGGGATTACAGGCTTGAGCCACCGCGCCCGGCCGCTATAGCATTTCTTATACTCACTGAACAAAAACTCTTAGGTTATATACAGCCACGCAAAGGACCTAACATTGTAGGTCCCTACAGAACGCTTCAATCATTTGCTGATGCAATAAAACATTTCACCAAAGAACGCTTATGACCCTTAACATCTACTATAACCCTTTACGTTATTGCTCCAACGCTGGCCCTTTCCATTGCTCTCCTCTTGTGAATCTCCCACCCTATACCAGATCCCCTAATTAATTTTAATATAGGCCTCCTGTTTATACTAGTTACATCAAGCCTAGCCAGCAAATACTTAGAGGATGATTGATATTATGGATGCTAGAGTGAAATGTATGGTTAAAGTCATAAGAGTAACTATAATAAATATTGATAGTATTATGCCTTCTAGGCGTAATAGGGATGATATTAGGTGGGATCCATGGACCAATACTCCCAGTAGTGACATGGTGTATGTTAATATAATATTAATCTAAATAGAGAGCATTTGGTAAATATGACCTATCATAATCTAATGAGTCAAAAATCATTTATTTAGAGTTAAACTATTTACCAATTCAACTCAATCTAATCCTTTTTGGGTTCATTCATAAGCCAAGACTAGGATCAAAATGATAATTAGCATATGGGTTGTAGTGATTATTAGTGTGAGGTTATTTGTTTGAATAGTCCATGGCAGTGGTAGTAGTAAAGCAATTTTTAAGTCAAAAAAGAAGAATGTGATGTTTATTTAAGTACACATGTATCAAAATTCAGTATTTTATGTATTTCATTCTACGTAGATTTTACCTCAATTCCAAAAAAATGAATTCTTAATACAATAATATTAAAGAAAATTTTGTAATTAGCCCATAAAAACTTTTACATTTACTTGGAATAAAAGAAATGTATGCAATATCTGAAGAAATATATCATTTTAACCTACTTAATAGACAAATTTACATTAAATTAATGGGATATTACATGTACATACTCTTTCTGAAAAACGTACTCTGATTCAATAATTCAACCTTTAAAAATAATAAATTACTCAGGAAAATTTTGATATTCATGTATATCAGTGTGGCATTTTTTTGTAATACTAAATTGTAAGCAACTGACATTTTCCAAAATAGAATTACTGCATCAATTAAATGGGTGGCAAATCATTTGTCTAGTCTTTAAAGACTAGGTTTTCAAAAGGTACATTTTATTATTATAACAAAATGCTCCTAGTACAATGTAAAACAGAAAAAAATTCATAGTTTAAAATATATTCAGTAATGTTACTATTTTTAAAAAATACACATTTAGATATGTTAAAAATTAAAAGCAATGGTAGCAAAACATTCGTCATGTGTTTTGGGTAACGGAATTACAGATTTGATATAATTTCTATATGCTTTTGTGTTTTGTGATTTTTTTTCAAAAAATATCTTAATAAATGCTTATATGTATAGACTATCTCAAATTATTACATTTAAAAAATGCTTTAGGTTATTATCTCTTGCTGATATTCTCTTTAGAGCAAATACCCTTTAGAAATTCATCACTGACCATTTTTTAGGCAACCTGCTGTGATAATACATTGCATTAGAGCTTCCTGGGAGTCAGAAAGATATACGTAAATATACAAACAAATATGTATATATATATGTATGTGGGTATGTGTATATATGTGTGTGTGGGTGATGAGATACATATACAGATGGATAGATATGATTCAGAAAGAGATACTAATATTTAAGAAAAAAGGCACCAAATTAAAAAGAATTAAATTAAAAGTAAAATGCCTATGAGTAAGTAATACATTTTGGATATTAACCCTTTATCAAATATATGTTTTGAAAATATTTTATCCCATTCCTTGGCTTGCCTGTTGTTGTTTCCTTTGCTGTGCAGATGCTTTTCATTTTCAAACCCCTTCTGTTATTTTTGCTTTTAATATTCAAAATATATAAAGAACTCATACAACTCGATAACAAAAAAGCCCACAAAAAAACAAAAAACTCAAACAACCTGATTTTAGAATGGCAAATGACCTGAATACACATCTTTTCAATGAAGTCATTAAAATGGTCAAGTATATGAAAAATTGCTAACACACTAAAGGGAAATGCAAATCTAAACCACAATGAGATGTTGCCTCACACCTGCTAGGATAGCTATTATTGAAAAGACAGGAAAACAAATGTTGGTAAAGACATGGAAAAAAGACATCCTCACACACCACTGGTGGAATTGTAGATTGCTAAAGTCATTGTGTAAAACATTAATGAGGTATCTCAAAAAGTTAAAAATAGAACTATTATATCTAGCAATTTCAATTCTGAATATATGTTCAAAGGTCATGAAATCAATATCTCAAAGACATATTTGCACCCCTATTTTTTTGTAGCACTATTCACAATAGCCAAGACTGGGAACAACCTAAGTGTCTGCTAACAAATAAATGAAAAAAGAAAATGTGGTATGTATATACAGTGGATACTGTTAAACCATAAAAAGAAGGAAATTCTGTCATTTGCAACAACCTAGATCATTATACTAAGTAAAATAAGCCAGATACAAAAAGATAAATACCGTATGATGTCACTTATATGTGAAAAGTAAAAAAATTAAACTTATAGAAACAGAGTAGAATAGTGGCTGTCAGAGGTTGGGGGTTAGGGAAAATGGAAAGATACTGGACAAAGGGGTAGAAAAATTCAGTTATAAGATGAATAAAATATAAGATTCTAATGTATAGTATGGTGAATTTAGCTAATAATCACGTATTCTTTCATTGAAATTTCTGAAATAGTAAATTTTCAGGAAAGTTTTTTGCTATACACACTCAGACACACACATATACACACACAAGGGTAACTGGGTGGTAATATAATGTGTTAATTAACTTTATTGTGGTAATCACTTCAGAATGTATACATATATCAAATCATGTTGTATAACATGAATATATACAATTTTTATTTGTCAGTTATATCCCAATAAAACAGGAAAATAGTCAAATGTCTATGTTGACATATAAAGCAATAAGCACCCAATGAAAAATTTTCCTAGCAGTTACTTGTAATTCAAGTTTTCCTATTATGAAGTTGGCCTGCTTTTGTCATCTGAATATTCTGTGTACATATATAAAATATTTTATTTTTAATGCAGATTTTAGTTTTGTATTCAAGAGGAATTATTTATGACAAATAACCTCCAGTTATTATTTAGAATATTTTTTTCTACTCACAGTAACATTTCTAGGTAGAACATAGAAAATAGTTTAGCTTGAGCTGGTTTTTCCATTAGTGAATTAGTTACTTAGCATTCATTCTACTTGAACTGACAGCAAGAACCTTTTTTCTGGAATTGCAAGAAAACTATTTTTAAAAAAACTTTCTTTTTTTTTCCCCATTTATTTATTTTGTTGCATTTTAGGTTTTGGGGTACATGTAAAGAACATGCAAAACTGTTGCATAGGTATACATGTGGCAGTGTGATTTGCTGCCTTCAAAAAAACTTTCTATAACATAACATAGAATCCATAAAACTTATTCACTGCCATGAAGACCAAATATTTATATGATGTTCTAAGAAAGGAATGTGAAAAGGCAGATATTATTTATTTGTTATGAACTACAGATGGAGAGAGTTGTAAATTAGAATAATTAGGTATAGAAATTGTATAAACAAATAACAGTTTAAATTTAATGATCTTTGTGAAGACATCATATAATCATAGTAACCTATGGTATTTAATAGAATTATTTGCATTAATTTGGAATGTGCTTCAAAAATAAAACCTCAGTATTGACTGATTTACAAAACATTTAAGTGAACTTAGAAATGAGAAATCCTAAGATGTATTTTCAACATAAAATAATCTGTTAGTAAAAACAGATGAAGACAACGGATCACTAGTGCCATAATACAACAACTAATTTAATAGTGGAAAAAGCAATCAACAGGAATTGATTTTATTTAATATAAACTGGAAAATGTTATTTGTATTTGTTTATGCCAAATTTTTATGGCAGATTGGACAAACTGAAATTCTTCTCACTAAAAATTCTGATAAAATATATCATGTATTGTATTAGCACATGACTGAGCTCGTAAAGAAATAAATGGACATTTCCAAGATCAGAAGTAAAAAAATTTCTAAGTCTGAGGCTATGGTCAATCTGCAATTCTTCTGTATTAATGACTTCATAACAGCACAGAAGGTAAATACTAGGCCTTGAACAGCATTGGGAATTTAAACAAAAACTTGCATACAAGCTCTGGTAGATTTCATGTTGAACCTAAAACTTATACATTAGGCCATAAATATTTAAACAAATCACTCATGGGGATGAATGTGCTTCAAATGAAGCAGGACATTTAAAAACTTAAGAACCTTTTTATATCTAAGTGCAGCACAAGTTAAACAAAATGGAAAAAAAAATGACAAGAAATACAATCTACCAAAATTGACTCATAGCCATTAAAAGTTTAGAGAGGTAAACTTTCAGAGAAATAAATTATTAATAAATGGTCTTTCTCTCTCTCTCAAACACACACACACACACACACACACACACACATTCACCAATTCGCCAGGTCCAGATGTTTTTATAACCCTAAACTTCAAATGTCAGTCAATCCCAATGTTATATACATTGTTCCAGAAAATAAAAATGGTGAAAAACCTCAGATTTACATATTGAAGCAAATGTAGCACTGATACCCATACTTGATAAATTTATAAAAAATGATACGAGAAAGGGGAAAAGAAGCTAACCCATTTCACTTACCAATATCTCTATAATAACCATAAATAAAATATTAGCATATATATTAGAGCAGTACATTGAGAATTTCTTACAGCAAAACCATGTAGGATTTTACCCTAAGAATGCAAGAGTGAAAGGACAATTCTATATTAGGATATACATTAATATAATTAATGATATTCATTGAAATAAAGATAATCATAAAATGCAACTCTCATCCTTGATTGAAAAAAAACAATAAAATAGGAATTTACAGATACTTTATATGTGTATATTCAATTTATCCAATTTAATTAGAAAAGACATAAGAATTTGATACAGAAATTAGGAAAAAAAGTAAAACTGCCCCTATTTCCATAAGAACTAATAATATACCTGGAGAATATTTGATAATCATAGAACTAACTGAAGGCAAATAATTCCCAGAGGAACCAGATATGCAATTAGCATAGTAGCATTCATATATTCAAACAAAAACTAGTTAGGAGATAAAACAGAAGGGAAAACTCTTCTAACACTAGCAATATTCCAAAAATCAAAGAAAGAAAAAACAGGAATAAAATTAGCAAAAAAAAAAAAAATGCAAAATCTATATAAGAAAAATCACAAAAAAACTCAAATGATATAAAAATAGTCTTAAGCAACTGAAAACGCATTCTTTAGATGAAAGGCATTGTCATATTGTGAGGTTAGAAAACAGCCCACAAGATCACTCTAACTCAGACACCAACTGAAGAGTTAGGGGTTGTCAAGACCACCCTTACTTTGCACATCAATTGCAAATTTTGGGGTATGCAAGGCCACCTTCAGCTTTGATAATTGATTGGAAGGACTCACAAAACTCACTGAAAGCTTTCAATATTCATAGTTATCATTTATTACAGAGAAAGGGCATGCATTAAAATCAGCTAACAGAAGAGACCCATGAAGCAAAGTCCAGAAAAGCTCCAAATACAGAGTTTTTAGTTATCCCTTTCCAGTAAAGTCATGTACAACATTAACACTGTGTTAATATTGCCAGGCATTAAATATTGCCAGCCAAGGAAGTTCACCTGAGTCTTGGTGTCTATAATTTTTATTGGAGGCTGACCTTTCACTTCAATCTGATATTATATGACCCAATACCCCCACCCTAAGTCACATCCTGGAATCTGAAGGCAAAGGTCAGACCTCTTTTCAGACAAGGCTGAATCGTTTACTATGCAAACATATATGCCAATGTCTTCTAAATTAATTTATATATTTTGATATAATGCCAATAAAATATCAACATTCTTTATCTGGGATTAGGGAACAGTCAACTCTAAATTCTATGTGGAAAAATGGACATTCCAAAAAATTCTAGAAAAATAAAAATGAAATCAATGAGGACAGTCGACCCCTGACAAATATATAACACCTTTGATAGTACACTCTATGGTACAGCAGCCACTAGCCACAATTGTCTATGTAAGTTAAAATTTAAATTAACTAAAAGTAAATAACATAAAATTTCAGTTTATCAACTATATTGGCCATATTTCGAGTGGCTGTCATTTTGCACAATACAGCTATTTAATATTTCCATTATCTCAGCAAGTCTACTGGAGTATATTGCCCAAAGCTTCTATATTAAGCAATATTGCTTCAAGACTAGAGAGGGGCAGGCACAAAACAAAGTCAAAATAGACTGACCCACCCAGTAATGTAGATATTTAATTTGTGTTAAAAATGAAATATCAAGCCAACGATATAATAATATTTAATGAATGGTATAAATTAGTTGAGTAGCCATTTAGGAAATTATAAAATTTGATCTGTACCTCAAATCATAGAGAATCAAAAGAATATATGTACACACTATATACACACAGCATGGGTAAATTCACCTGGGACATGGTTATGGGTATTGACTTTCTTGCTGTGATGAAAAATCAAGATGTACTAAAAAGTGACAGAATCAGACACCACTTAAACCAAATGATGAAAGTTAGCATAATCAGTTTTGTACCAATTTCAGCACAAACTGAAATCATGTACTTTTTAATGTAATGCACTGGGAAGTAGATGGCATCCTACAGATCTTATCTGTCAAAAAAGCTGTTTTCCAATCATAACTAAATAATTTGAAAAGTTTATATTGAGAAATATTCTGCAAAATATTGGCAAAGATTCTAAAAAATATAAATACCATAAAAATAAGGCTATACTTTTAAAGGAGATTAAAGAGGCATGACTACTAAATTTATTTTTGATCTTTGATTATACCAAATAGAAAGCGAAAATGATATAATAAACATTACAGAACTAAGAAAACTTCAGTGCATATATCAAATAATATTAATGAGTTAACTTACTTGAGTACTATATTTACACTTAAATTATATATTCTTAGGAGTTAAATGCTGAAGTACTTAACAGTGAAGAATTTTTAGGTCTGTTCACTGAGCAATGGCTAAAGCCCCAAACTTAATGGCTTAGTGTAATAATCAATTATTAACTCACAAATTTCTAGTTGCCAATCAGGAAAATGTTCAGATGAATGACTCTGCTTATTTTCCTGGGCTCAATCGTAATGGAGTCAGTCACCTGACAGTTCTTCTGGGAGTTGATGATCTGGGATCACTGTATTCACATGCCTAGTGGTTTGTAGGCTACTGGTTTAAGGACCTTAATTATATCCTACTTGGACTTTGTGAAGATTAGCTAGAGCATATTCCTGTCACAGCAGATTTCCAATAGGAAGAGAGTCATAGCTTCTAGAAGTTCATGATCTTGATTGAGGACCCACATGATGCCGCTTCTGCTGCATTCCATGGATCAAAGCAAGACCAAAGACCATCCAGATTCAAGCGGTTGGGATACCAACCTTGCCATTAATATGAGGAGCTAGAAAATGTTTTTTTTTTTTTTTTTTGAGACGGAGTTTCGCTCATGTTACCCAGGCTGGAGTGCAATGGCGCGATCTCAGCTCACGGCAACCTCCGCCTCGTGATCCACCCGCCTCGGCCTCCCAAAGTGCTGGGATTACAGGCTTGAGCCACCGCGCCCGGCCTAGAAAGTGTTTTAAATACACTTTATATCTATCTATTTATCTATCTATCCATCTACATATTCATCCATTTATCTATTTATAGATACCTATATTGCACACTCTTAGCAATTTGCCAATCTGAGTAAAAAGTGTATGGTGGTTTACTATAAAGTTCTGTAGAATTAAAAAAAAAAATTATTGGGAAAAATTAAAGATGAAACAAGATAAAAATATTTTACCATCTTTTTTTTTCTGCTTACCTTCTTTTACTCCCTGTTCCTATATAAGACAAAACTATCCTGAAGTTCTGATTTTGAGGTTCCAGTAAATTCCTGTATAGAAGGGCCTACCCATGTACAAGAAGATGTGATTTACATGGATGAAATCTTCATATTACTCTCATTCATTTTCCATGATGAATGACCTCACTAATCTATTTATGTAAGATGTTTTTGGAGAGATTTCTATAATAATTTTGCTAATAATTTAAAATATTTCTACTTTCTATTAACTGTAATATTTTTTCCGTATCGAAAAGATTCATACAATCAATGAGCTTGTTCTTTTTATCCTCAAAGTAAAATTAAATTTCTTCATGTTTATCTACAATTATCTGAGTTTTTTTCAGATGCTACTAAATTTAGTCCAAAAGTTTCTGAAATTTTAATTTATTACCATTATATACATTTCTATCTTCTATAAACTTGCATTTTCTATAATGGTAAAAGCAGAATTGATGTGGTTGTTCCTAGATTAGTTTCTATGCATTTGTCTCAATTATTTATCTTAGCCATTACTTGGACGTGTTTATATAATTTATATTCAAATATGTAGCAGTAGGTACTCTGTCCACTCAGTTATGTTAAAACTGTTGCCCTGAATTTCATATCCTATATGCTCCAGCCTAGTGATGCAAGATTTTTCTCAGCCACTATGCCAACCAGGGACCTCCACAGCCAAAACTGCTTCCCTGTCACCCAGGCCTCATTCAGCCCCAGGCCTGTCACTGAAGGCACCCTGCCCACTTGGCCCACTTGTGCTATGGCCCGTACCTGCACTGGGTGGTTCCCAAGCTCTTGTTCCACATTCAAGCAGAATGAGGATACAATTTCAAAAGTGAGGATGCCAGGGAACAATTTTATTTAGTGACGGAACTGCTCTCAGTGGAGAGGGGACATGGGGTGGTTCCTCACCCCCATTGGTGGGTTTCTCCTCCAGTGTGTCTGTATCCAAAATTTTTATGGACTCAGAACAGGGAGTGCATGTTGATTGGTCTTGAGTATGCAAAAAAGGTTAAAACAATAACAGCACACAAAGGTGGGTACAACTGTAGAAAACCAATTAGGAAAGGGTAGGTATATGTAAAATAGGTGAAGGCTGAGGATCAATCAGAGGAAAGCTTGCCAAATGGGAAGACAGGTTCTTAATTCAGTCTGTGGATTTGACTTGTAGCTTGGCTTTCAGGCTTTAACCTGTCTTGGTCTTGGAGGTGGGGTTTCATCAGAGACCGTCCCTATCTGCCTAGGCATTTGGCTGCTTCCTGTCACTGTCACTAGAGTTAGCCAAAATAAGAAATTGTTTCACATTTAGAAGACAGAAGTTAAGCAGCTACCATTACTCTTTGAAGGTGATTAAATTAAATGCTGTGACAGGCAGAAAGAGTGGGTTCTGTCTTGTGTTACTGTGTTCAGCTCTTCTCACTGTCAGCCCTGTGGCTGAAAAGAAACTGAAGTCCACAATCAGATGTGTTTTGCTGAAGACTTTAAAAGCAGGATTTATGCAATGTGGACAATTTGCCTAATCCTTTCCCTTTATTTCTGGGATGTTTCCATTTTATTTAGCAGCTGTCTATTACCAGCTTCCCAGAATCCCCTGCAACTCCTGACTTTTTGCATAAATCATTATTTTAGTAGGACTGATTTGTGACTTTTCCCTGATCTCTCAAATCTCCCTTAGATTTTCTTCTCCCTAGTTTCTCCCACAATTACATAAGACTTTATTCTTATAATAAATCTCTAATTCGTAATTATCATGGCAGATCTATTTTCTTATTTAAACTGTATTATTGCAATTCTTTTATAAACATAATTAATGTCTCAGAGTCTTACACATTGGTTTGCAAGATTCTGTGCAATATAAAATTAAGACAGTTCTAATTTTACATTTACCAGATTCCTTCAAAGTATGGTTATTCACACTGTATGCTATTTATATATGGCAAGAGTTGTAAGAGTTTCCTTTCCCCAAATCTAAGATGCAGTTTCAGCATAAAATTATGTAATTTAATGAATCTTATTCCAAGTACAATATGAGTTTGGAAACTTGCCTTTGTAAAACAAATAATTAATTATGGAAATTTTCACTTGATAGTTAGAAAAGGAGTCAAAGTTCATTTTACAAAGACTTAATAATTCTTTTTACTTTAGATAATTTAAACAAAAGAAAGTCTTTTAGTGTTAAACCTAATTAATTTTTCCTCTTCTGCAGTATACATTCCTTGTAATTTTTCAAGGTCATAGTTAAAACACATGGAATAATACTGTTATCTCAACAGAGAACATAATAAATGGTAGATTTACGCTTAAAAGCAAAAGCTCTGTTTTCAGTAAGGTTAAGATTCAGCTTCCTTCTTTGTTTTTCAATTCCCAGTTCTTTGCAGTTTCCTCTCCTATACGAGTATTCATTATCACAGGGAGGAAGTCTCGTCACATGCAGTGACAAATTGTTTCATTTATTTAAGATAGAATCTTTGTATTGCACTCCATATGCTAATACAAACACATCTTTAATGATTAGAAAAAGATAAAATCCTCACCCACCAGGAGCAGAAATTTCTGTGTTTACAGGCTTATAAGCAAACCACATACTGAGTTGCCAGTCCTGCTGCCTGAACAACAGTCTCCTTTTAATCAGTAAATCATTATGCCAATAACAGCATCAACAACAAAAATTTGTATGCTATTTTGAGGTTAGTTTCAAATCTTGCTCTGCACATTCACAAAGAGTATCCCAGAGAAAAGCCCAACACCCAACTGACTCAAAAAAGAAGACTTTAAGATGTCAAAGAAAAAGTATCATTTTTTCTCTACACCAAGACTCAAGCCACTTGGCTTATGAATTTGCCAAACTATGACTGTCAACTATTCTTCCACCAGTTGGTTACCAGTGGAAGGTATTTGAGTTACTGGTGGTGAATCCATCTGGGCCTACAGCAATCTCAATTCTTATCTGCTTCAGAAGAAAGAATTTGACTGAGGGGAATAAGACAGAAAAAGAGGCTGAGGCAAGTTTCAGAGCAGGAGTGAAAGTTTATTAAAAAGCTTTAGTGCAGGAAAGAAAATATAATGCACTTGGGAGAGAGCCAAATGGTCCACTTGAAGAGCAAGTGCTCTGTTTAACTTTGATCCTACAACTTTATAGGCTGGCCAACCTCAGGTGTCTTGCTTGCCTTTCCCATGATTCTTACCTTAGGATGGGCTCCCAGTAAGAGCAGTGCCCTCCTTATCTTTGGGAAGTCAGCATGAGCCGTGTGTTTAGGAAATAGTATGCAAGGCCAGGCTTTCTTCCCTGTTCTGGTGCAGTGCCCCTGGAAGCTCATATTCCACCATTCTCTCTCTTACTGCACATGCTTGGGCTTACTCTCCCAATACCTGATATTTCATTGGAGGCCCTCTTGCTTCTCCCTGGCATCTACATTCAATTAACACTTTCATGTTAAGAGCTGTGGATCAGCAGGAGATTGTCCTTCCATGGTGCCGGCTGCCAAATTATAATTTTTAGAGAGGCAATGTGACAACCCTTGAATCATCAACTGATTGCCTGATATTTCTGATGGGTGGGTCGGGAGAGCTCTCTCCTGCCTTGATCATGCCTGTCTAACTACCTATAACAAGCTTAATCTTGTCAAAATGTTGTTTCTCAAATATCACAAATACAACGTATTAATATGACAAAGGTAAGTTTATTGCTTACCCTGGTAAGGCAGAAAACCACCCGATGAAGTTGGGGCAGTGTCTTGAAGAGTGATGCATAAGGCAAGATGTGTAACAGAATGGAAAAGAAGCAAAAATGATCATAATCAGTTTTGATATATCTTAGTTTATAAGTTATGTACTTCAGTCTAAGTCACACTCACATAAATATCACTTGAGATTTATTTTAAAAAATGAAACTATGGGATTAATGGCCTTCACATGCCAAGATACATGGTAAAAGATGTAAAACCTTGCTGAGGTGTCTTTTTACTTACTCGTAACTATCTTCTTTATATGTCCTTTTAACTCCTTTATTTAGCTTCTAGAGCTATCCATGCTGCTCTACGTCTATTCCAAAGTCCATACC